TACATAGAGAGATATACATAGAGAGAGGCAGAGACATAGGCAGAGGAAGAAGCAAGCAGGCTCCCTGTGGGGATCCTGATATGGGATTTGATCCCAGGACCTGGGATCAAGAGCTGAGGCAAAGGCAGATGCTCAAGCACTGAGCCACCTGGGTGTCCCTAAAATAAATATTTTCAAATTAAAAAGGATTTGAACATTTTACTTCCCACAAACAATAAGTTACTTAAGCATGTACTCCAGCAAAATGAGGGCATAAACCAAAACAGAGGAAGATACGAGAAAAGGAAATGCTACTTCTGGCCATGGAGAGAAGTAAAGAGAAGTACCAGGATGATAGCTCCACTGGAGGCCTAGAAAACAATCAGAATCCAGAATGGCACAAAAAGATAAAGGAATTCGGGCAAAAAGGCTTAGGGAAACAAGACTTATAGAACTGATGGAATTTAGAGTCTAAAGCATTTTGGAGGCAAATAATATATAAACAAAAAGGCAATTAGAAACACTAGAAAAAATGTTTACAAAAGTGAAGGTCTATTATGAAAAAAGGTTGACACAAAGTTAAACAACTTCTTTTTTTAAGAGTTTGAGGGGCACCTGGGTGGCTCAGTGGGCTCAGGTCATGATCTCAGGGTTGTGGGATGGAGCTGCATCCAGCTCTCAGGTCAGCGCTTAGTAGGCATGAGATTCTCTCTCCCTTTCCTTCTGCTCCTACCACCCCCGCCCCCACCTGCACTCTCATACTCTCTATCTCTAAAATTAAAAAAATTAAATCCTTAACAAAAAAAAGGGGGTTGGCGGAAAGAAAGAATCCATTTGGCTTCTATGCCAGATATATCCTCCTCTGATTCCCCAGGAATCCTGACACCAGACTCAATGTAACAAGCAAGTCTAAAATTTAATCTTAATATAAGAAGCCATGAATTATATATACAGAAATGTAATAATGCAAATATTGTCTTTGGATTTTCAACTTTAATAATAATTTATGAATAAAAAGGTCAATTTAAGAGCAAAGCACAAAATCTTTATTGGTTATGGGTTCTGGGCTTTGGACCGTTAAGGTAGCATCAAAAAGAGAAAACTGTAGAAACCCAAACCTCCTTGACTTACAAGAGGGGGAGTCAAGAAATGCCATCAAAAGTTCACAAAGAATAACAAAGGTGATCTAACAGGCAAGCTAAAAATAACATATATATAAAAAATGGGGGAGGAATAAACAGTTTAAGGAGCTACATTCTCATTTTCAATCAGAAGTTAAAAGTTGGTAAATCAAAAAATTATGGGAAAAGCATTTTAGGGTTAAGGAAGTATCAATCTAAGAATTAAATACAGAAACAGTTAAAAAAAAAAAAAAAACCTAAAAGGCTCCCTCTGTGAGCCTTGAGGAGGTGAAGGAAACCATTGTTTTTCAACAAAAGTCCTTCTGTACTATTGGGTTTGTTACTAAGTGCATAGATCACTTTGACAAAAATAATTTTCTATGACACTTTTCAGAAAAGGCAAAACACTAAAATTATTACCAAAAATTGGGAGTGGCGGGCAAATATTATTGAAATTATATTTAAGAGTGGAGATTAAATATTTTTTTCTCATAGAATGTTAGTCAAATAAAATTTTCCTATTAGAATGTAAAGTCCCACTAAAGCCAAGCCATGTTCTTCTTTATAATTCTCTGTTTTCTGGTTTATGTGTAATAAACATGTATCCCATATATAACCAGGATTTTTTTTTTTTTAATTTTTAATGTGATCAGCAGTCAAAGTCAACGTGCCAGGTGGCTAAGAGCCCAACACCTACACGCCCCCAGCCTGATTTATGAGCCTTAGAGGGCAGCAGGAACAGGGCAGTAATTTTCAGGGGCCATGTGTTTTAACATCAACCCTCTCCACTTGTCCACGCTACCGAAAGAATCACACGACAGGAAAGGTGAGACCACTCAGGAAAGGCTTCCTTTAAAAGGTAACAGAAAGTCATTACATCATATACCTAGGAACAACCTTACCTAAGAAAATCACGAAAAGCTTTCTAAAGCTCTTATTATCCAGGCTTTGTTTCCCATAAAGCTGGGGAAGTGACATGCAGGAGAGAGGGAGGAGTGAAGAAAATGGAAAAGGGCTCTGTAAGTAGTTGCCAACACATTAGAGGTCCAGTCCAGGGTCTACCATTAAATACCCATATGACTTTCTCAAAGTCACGTGGCCACCCTTCCTTGCTCTTGGGTTTTCTAGCCAAAACAAAACAAACCTGACCCTGGTCCAATCTAAAATCCTTTAACTTCTCATTTATAAAGGCCCTGACTGACGGAATCGGTAATTGGATGCTACTGCTAATCCCATTTCGCAGATGATGGAGCAAAATGGATTTTTTGACAATTCAGGGTCCGTGGTCACGATTTTTCAAGCTTCTACTTAATCGGGGTGCCTTTCGAGGCTATGTCATACAACATTTAGCTTACTCCGACTTTAAACAAAGCCCCCCAAAACACTCAGGGAACTCCTGGCAGATTGCTTATCTTGAAAGACAATAGTTAACGCTGACTTAATTTCTTAAATTCCCTTAGCTACTTGGCCAGAAAGTTTCCAGGGGCTGCAGCAAATCAAGCTAGCCTACTACCTACACAGTTTTTCAGCTGTGGTCTTCACTGACTATCCAAAGTGACTGAAGAGGTGCCCTGCCTTGGGCTGCAGAGTGGTTGTAGCTGGGGGAATGGACAATGAATCGGAGCAACTTTCTCTAAACCCAAAGCTAATTTCCATTTTTTTTTAGATTTTTTTTTTTTTTTTAATTCATGAGAGATACAGAGAGAGAGGCAGAGACAGGCAGAGGGAGAAGCAGGCTCCATGCAGGAAGCCGGACGTGGGACTCGATCCCAAGTCTCCAGGATCACGCCCTGGGCTGAAGGCAGCGCTAAACCACTGAGCCACCCAGGCTGCCCACTAACTTCCATTTTTGTCCTAGTTTCATCTTTCAAAACTTGTGCACAAAAGGGATTTATTTTTTTTTTTTTGCTTTCTTTCTGGGGGGGGGGGTGTCTTTTTTTCCTAGCTTTCCTTTGATATTAGGCAAGCCTAGCTCTTATTTCGTATTTTTAATAACCACAGTTGGGATCCCTGGGTGGCGCAGCGGATTGGCGCCTGCCTTTGGCCCAGTGCGCGATCCTGGAGACCCGGGATCGAATCCCACATCGTGCTCCCGGTGCATGGAGCCTGCTTCTCCCTCTGCCTATGTCTCTGCCTCTCTCCCTCTCTCTGTGACTATCATAAATAAATAAAAATTAAAAAAATTAAAAAAAAAATAACCACAGTTATACTCATCACGTATCATATATTTTCGTGTGTTTGGTCCCAAAGTCATTTGGGACCACCAAAGATCCCCCTAAATTACTGTAAATTAGACCATTTTGTATTTGCATTCATTACAAAGTCCATCTCTATAAAAGTCACAATTAATATTCAAAACCCCATTTACCTAAGCAAACTTAAGATTATTTTGGAGCTTTATGTACCATAGAAACTAATGTCATCCTTCAGAACAGTGTCATCACATTTAGGAAGATGTCATGTTATTCACATACTTGAATTGCACCAGCCATTTAGAAGTCAAAGCACTGAGTACATGGTCTACACTAACACTCAAAGCCTGGGAGAAGGCCGGTTGTGGAATGACCATCAAGTCGGCTTCAGGACAAGTGCTTCTCCACATCACACCAATCCCAGAAACAAAATAAAGAACTCCTCCTTGTACAAGATGTCAACAGCTGTGGGATGGGGAAGGAATAACTGGTCACCAGTATGAGTCAAGGACTTGGCTACAGTAACCTCATCCATTACTGCGGATTTGTTATTAGAGCCAACCGACAGCGATCAGGGTATCAAATATTAGTGCCAAAGAAAGGCTTGATTATATTTTTAAAAGAGCACATCATGTCTCCGGAGAAATTTTAAACTAAAGCTCTTCTTCATCAAAGAAATATGGGCTTTAAAATCAACTCTAAGGCAAGTTCTGAGAAGAGGAGTTTCCCTCCATGGCAGTGAGCCACCAGCCAGTGCAGGCAACCCTAAACCAAGTGGTCCAGCTGGCACAACTTCCATCTAGGCCATCAACAGCCTGACCCCCGCCCCCTTGACCTCACTGGTCACACTTCAAGTTCCAGCTTGGTTTCTCCTCTGGAACACAATTATCTTAGGGTACCACCATGGAAACAATATCTTTCTCATGTCTGTGAACATAGCTTCCTGTCAATCTGACGTAAAAATCATTCCATCAAAAGGCCCTGACAGTGTGGAAGGGAAGAATAATAACACAGCGGCCTCCGGATCCCAAGGTGTTTTCGGTTACTAAGTGTGACATCAAAAAACTCCTGACCCCATTTCCAACACAATTGATTTTCCAGCCCGCAACCACTTCACGGGCCGAGTCGCTAATTACATCACTGTGCTGTGTGGTCATTACATCACTCAGCTGGGAGCAGTCAGGCCTACCCGGCGGGCCGGGCGGGCGGCGGGGCTCACTTTTCCAGCTTGCTTTTCCCCAAGAACGGAGAGAGTGCAGACCACCTACACAACCAAGAGTCCCTCTGCTTCCCAGGCTTCAAAAGTTTTCTAGAATGTATCTCGGTGTCCCCTCCCCATGGAGCAAGCTCTGGTCCATCTGACCGGGAAGGGGAAGGGGCAGGTAAGGGCGTAAGTCCCCCCCCCCCCCGCAAGTCTATAGCAACTATTCCAGATTCGGGGCAAAGTCACCTGTGGGTTTCCTAAGAATCGCCCCCAAAGCGGTGATCATTTGCACGTCCCCAATGTCTCGGACTCCCAGGGCCCTGGAAGCGGCTCACCCGACGCGCTCCGCTGGGTGAGGCTTTCCCACCCCAGCCCCCGGAGGCTCCCTGCTTGCAGGTTCCCGGGGCTTTCGCAGACAAGCGTGCAAGGATGCACGCTCCCAGCAGCAAGCGTGCGCCCCCCCCCGCCTCCCGCCCCCCGCCCCCCCGCCTCGGGCTGACTTACTTGAGGAAGTACCTCTGGCCAGTGGCCGTGAAGGTCATCTCCCAGCCCGGGGGCAGCGGCAGCTCGTCGGTCACGTCGTACGACTGCTGGCGGAGGTGCGCGTGCTGCTGCGCGGGGCTGCCCGCGGCCCCCGCGCCCGGGCCCAGCTGCAGGGACGCGGGCGACGAGTGCGAGCGGACGTGCTGGGCGCCGCTGGCCAGCCGGGGCCCCGCGTGGCCGCCCGACGAGTCGGTGCTCGACTGGCGCGAGTGCGAGCCGGAGTCGGGCTCCTTGAAGAAGGACTCGGGCAGGATCTTCTTCCGCCACGAGCTGGGCTTGGGGTTCATGACCGAGTTGAAGAGGGCTTCGAGGTCCGTGTCGAGGTCCTGCGTGACGTGGATCACTTGCTGCCCGGGGGGCGGGAGCGCAGGGGGCACCGAGGCCGGATTCATCTTCTGCGGAGAGACGCGAGGTCCGATGAGGCTTTTACGAAGAGTCGGAGGAGAGGGGCCGGGGTGCGGGGGTGGGGGGTGGGGGGTGGAGGGCGGAGGGGTGGGGGTGGGGGGGAGCAGAACAGGGACAAAAGAGCTAGAGGACACGGCTAGGTGTCCGCCTCGGGATCCCAGACACCCAGGGGTGAGGCCGGCCGGGTGGGGGAGGGGTCCCTCCCGGCCTGGGGAATTATGCAACTTTCTCGAAGCCTGGAAGTTGCCGGAGAAGGAGGAGGAGGAGGAGGAGGAGGAGAGGAGGAGGAGGAGGAGGGCGGGGGCGGGGGCTGCGCTCCGGGCGCAGCCTGCACGGCGGGCGCCGAGGGCAGGGCGCAGCCTTCCCGGGCAGCCCCCCACCCCACCCCCACCCCCACCCCCGGGTCCCGCCCCGAGCCCGCCCCGCGACCCCTCCTCTCCGGGCGCCCCCGGGCGGGGCGGGGTGCGGCGGCCCTACCTGGGCGCGCGGCGGGGCCGAGTCGGGGCGCGCTCGCCGTCGGGCCTCAGTGGCTCGGGCGCCTCCCGGGCTGGCGGGGCTGTGGCCGGGGCCGGGCTGGCAGATCCCGACTCGGGGCCCGGCGTCTCACATGCCCCGCACCGGCCCCCGGCGCTCGCGCTGCGCGGCAGGAGGCGGAGGAGACGCAGACAGCGCGGCCGCCGCGGCTCCCGGACTGTCCCATAAACAAAGTTAGGAGCGGACTCCCTCGCCCGGAGGAGGCGGGCCCGAAAGCTGAGCTGCTGAATTATGCATGAGCCCCGCGGCCCGAGTCCGCCCGAGCCCGCCCGCGCCCGCTCGGCCCTGCCCCCGCCCTCCCCCCTCCCCCCCATCCCGCCTCCCGGAGGCCCCGCGCCCCGCAGGTACTGGGCCGGGCCGGAGCCGCCGGGCGCCCGGGGCGCTGCTCCGGGGGGCGCGCGCCTCTCCGCGGAGCCGGGCCCCGCAGTCCCTGCGTCCACCGCCGACCGAGGGCGGGATCCAGGGCCAGGGGCCTGCGCCCGTGCGGTCAGGGCTTGCGGACGGAAACTGAGGCGGGGGCGGCGGGGGGCGGAGGGCGCGCGAGCCGGGGGCGCAGGCCGGGCCAGGCCGGGTGCCCGGGGTCGAGGCCCGGGGCGCCCGGAGCGCCGCACTGAGCCGACGGCCCGGCCTGCCGCGGGGACCCAGGCCAGCCCTTCCCACGGGGAGGCTGCTCGGCGCTTGTGACCATATTTGGTCTGGCGAGGAGGCATCTTGGCTGTCGGGCTTGCAGTTGTCTGCTGGGGCGCAGACGGTGCCCAGAGCGTGCCCCCGTCACCGTGGCTGCGGCCTCGCCGGCGGGAGCCTTGTAAACAACCTCGAAACCATTCATCAATCCTTAGTCTCCTCTACGCGGGACTCGGGTCACTAGAAATGGAGAAGGAACCTGGCCAGAGCCGGGTCCGGGAAAGGGACAGCAATCGCGTCCCCCCCCCCTCCTCCCCGGCCCCCGCGACATCCGCGCGGGTGGTGGGAGGATTGGAATGTCCCCGACGCCCTCCAGAGAGCCTGGAGCCCGGCTGGAACCCGAGCAGGTGGCTGGGAGCAGAGAGGGTGCGCCAGGGACCCGGAAAAAACCTCCCACCCTCCCACCGACTGGATCCAGGACGGGGGTGGAGACCCCCAGCCCCTAGATGTAGCTTGGCGAGACAGCTGCGGGGAGGAGGCGGCGGCCTTGGCCCTCGGAGCAGCTCAGTTCCTCCTCCCCCCGTCCCCTCTCCCACCGGCGGCTGCCTGCGAGGTAAGTCACAATTCACAAAGCCCCTTACCCCACGACGTTTGATTCAAAGAGAAGCTCGGGCCTAAGCCAGATGAGCAATAGATGCACAGACAGTCCGGACTTAGAGGTGGACGCACTTAACAACTTTTCGGCTTTACGATGGTGCACGAGGGACATCCAAATAGCAAATATCATCAAATATCAAATATCCTTTAAACTTCACCTGGGATTCTGAATTTTGACCTTTCCCCACGCCGGGGCCATGCGGTAGGGCACCCCCTTGATGCTGGGCAGCGGCAGCCACAGCTCCCAGTCCGCCCTGCCATCAGAAGGGCAAACAACTTACTTAGGCTTGCAGCCATTCTGAGGCCATGTAACAATTGTCTTTCACTTTCAGCACAGTAGTCAATAAATCACTTGAGATATTCAACACTTTGTTATGAAATAGGCTTTGTGGTAGATGACTTTGCCCAACTGTAAGCTCATGTAAGTGTTCTGAGCACATTTAAGACAGGCCAGGCAAAACTATGATGATCGGGTTTTTGTTTTTGTTTTTTTTAGGATTTTATTTATTTCTTTGAGAGAGAGGGAGAGCACAGAGGGAGAGGGAGAAGCCGAACTCCCCACTGACCAGACAGCTCAGTGCGGGGACTCGAACCCAGGGCCGGAGATCGTGACCTGAGCCGAAGGCAGATGCTTAACTGAATGAGCTACCCAGGCACCCCTGGTGTTGCGTATTAAATGCATTTTCAACTTTCAATTGATATTTTCAATCTACAGTGGATTTATCAGGAACTCATCCTACCTACATCGAGGAAGATCTGTAAAACACTTTGAACAACATGGAGCCCATCCGTATATCTCTTCATTAAATAAGATAGAACTGTATTAACTACAAGTATTGCCCCTCAGTATTTTTGTAAGAGTGAAATAAAGTCAAAATCTGGAGTTGCCTTGAAGGAGAAAAGTTTACAGGAATGACAAGACCACCCCATAGAAAAGGCATGGGAGTGTTTTGAGGCCACTCCTTGAATGGCTACTCCCTATCGTTGCCTACAATAGAACAGAGCCCCCCAAATGAGGCATCCATCACCCTATTATCTGTACTTGGGGTGTGCTTTCGTTCCAGACTCCCCACAGGGTGGGAAAAATCAGAGCTGCCTTAAGGAGAAAGACAGCCACATGGGTCACCTTCAAAGATAAGCAGAGCATAGCTCCTTTCCAGAGACTCTGGAACCCCAGATTTCCTTCATAGCAAAGTCCTCTGCCCATAGGACCAGCAGAAGGAAGGGGGAAGCTACATGTCACTCCACGGGACATAGTGTCAGCAAGCTATCATCAGAAGCCACCACAGTTACACTGGAAATTGGCTTATGGAACCAGAGGAAGTGACAGGGTCCCAGTGGTTACTAATCAGAAGTCACAAGGCTACCTTGATAAATAAAGGATGGAAGCTTGAGTCCAGCACTACTCCAGGAAGGTCCTCACCCAAGAAGGAAAGGCCTGCTTTGTAAAGAGTACCTGGCAGCTACCAGACAAGACGAAAATGCTGAAGGGAGCCATGAGAATCAGCCAGTGAGAATCTGGGTTAGGACTGGATGAGCAGAGATGCTGTCTTCCTTCCTTGCCAAGCCTCAAGAAATAGATTGTGGAAGACAGAGAAGTAGATGCCTGGAAAGGAAATTACCCAGATCACAGGATAACTCAACGGGAAACTCCCAGTTCTCAAATAGGTTCTGCGATGCGATAGTGGGTGGTTGAAGACATTTGCTCCATCCTTCAAACAACAGCTTCAAATGACACAACATTTATAGGTGCCTTATATGTGTCAGGTACTACCCATACGAGGCAGCATGGTGTAGTGACTAAATGTATAATCCCTGCAGCAAAATACCTGAGTCACCTCAAACAAAACACTTGAGCTCTCTATTCCTGGGTTCCTCCTTTGTAAACGAGGTACAAAAACAGTACCCACTTCGCAGGGTTCTAGGTTACGACACTACAAATTTTATCCATTGGCCCGTGATAGAACACAAGTTTTGAAGTGCCTGGCTCTACTCTTTATTTTGGGCAGGTAACTTAGCTTCCTGAAGTCACAGATTATTCATTTACAAGTTGGAGATAATATGGTGGCAGCCCCGTGACACTGCTGCCATTCAATGGACCACCCTCCTGTTAGTCACACCCCATAGAGTCCCTTCCAACTTAAATCTGGGACAGTGACTTGCCTTAAGCAGGAAAATACAGCATTGAATATGTGCTGGCTCCCCGCACCCCGCCCTACCTCACCCCCCCCCACCTTAACCCCAAGGAAGGTATAGACATTTCTATTTTTGTCCTTTGGGACACCTAAAGCTCTAGGTAAGAAGTCCAACTACCCTCCTAGAGAAACCACATGGAGAGGGAGAGGCCCTGAGATATGTGGAGAGAGGGAGAAGTCCAGCCACCCCGCATCTGAGCTGAGCCCAGCCCCTGGCGGCCCACCAGCTGACTGCAAACACATTAGTGACCACCATTAAGATGGATAAAAACGACAGAGCCTAGCCCAGCCCAGATCGCAGAACTGTGAGCAAATAAAATGGCTATTGGTTTAAGCCACTAAATTTTGGATTTTTTTTTTTAAGATTTTATTTATTTATTCACGAGAGACACAGAGTAGGAGAGGCAGAGACACAGGCAGAGGGAGAAGCAGGCTCCATGCAGGGCGCCCGACGTGGGACTCGATCCCAGGACTCCAGGATTGTGCCCTGGGCCAAAGGCAGCCGCTCAACCGCTGAGCCACCCAGGCGTCCCTGGATTTTTTTTTTTTTAAGCGCACAATGAACATGCTAAGGATTAAAAAAGAAAATGCAAATAAAGTTCCTCACACAAATTCTGTTCCATAGTAACACACTCAAGTAATGACTATGATTTAAGGCTCACGGAGACCCAGAGAATAGATAATATATTTCAAATCTCCCATTTTTACAGATAAGGAATCTGGCCCAGAGAACTTTATTTTGTCCAAGTACATAAAATGAATTCATGAAAAAACCCTCAGTTCGGCCCAGGATTTACCCTTGATCAGAGTGTTTTTTCTACTCTCCCATCCTGTATGAGTCAGCATTTGTTCCCTGGTATTGTCATTTTAAATCAGTGTGCTACCTCTTGCTTGCCTATCTCAGAGAGAAACTCCACAGTTTCTATAAGATATAAGATAATTGAGAGTAAGTCGATTTCTCTCTCTCCACTTGCAAAGACTTTCCACTAGAGGTTGATTCCTTCTTCCTCATCCTGCCCTCAATACACTTCCTAGTTCCCCTGAGGCACCCATCCCCCCTCCCCCTCTGTCTACATCCAGCCAATAGCAAGTGATTCTTTATCCTGGTGTCCCTCAAAACCATCCCTCCTTTCCTGCTCCCACAACAAGACCTTATCTCAAAATGCTTGCAGCGGCCTCCTACCTGGTTTCTCTGCCTCCAGTCTATCCTTCCTGGCCTATTTTCATGATGTCATCCCCGGCTCACAAGCTTTCAACAACTGCCCACAGGAAGAAAGGTCAGAGCTATCAATCTAGCACCCAAGGACTTGCAACCAACTGCCATCGTCATTGCTTTCTGACCTTGCTTCTTACACAAACGTGTCTTCATCCACTCCAGCCAGGCTTTGACACAAGCATATTTATTTAGCCTATTCCTTCGCTGCGTGTATCTCTAGCTGAACCCTCCATATTCCATGGTTGAGCCTCCATTAGTCTCTCTCCCCTAAATTCACATTATTCTTGTCTTTTTCTTTGTGACACATAATCATATACAACACTGTCTTATATTCTAACTTTCACCTCAGTTATCTCTGGCCTCCTCAACGACAGCTGCTGGGTCTAGAAGAATCCTACATTTCTGTATGGAAGTGCTCCCTTGAAGCCCATAATTCCTTACTGAGGGCAGGATGATCCTTACACGATTTTGCCCGTTCTTCTAGCACCCACTGGCATACTCCTAACCGTTTGTAAGGTAGCCTCTCACCATTCATTACCGTTTTGGCACTTCATGTGGAATCAGCTCCTGAAGAGAATTGCAAGCTCTTTGAGGACAAGTCTAAAAGGGGCTTCGTTTTCTTTTTGTTTTTTTCCCCACACCTCACAAGGTGTTCTCCACACAGCCTGGTTCACTGCAGGTGGTCACCTAGCCCAATGGCTGGTGTCTTGGCTTTGTCACCTGCCATATTTGCCTCAGGAAAGCCACCGGCTGCTTTTCTCAGCCTTACCCCTCTGAATTGCTGACTTGGTATGGGTGACTGATTCCAGCTGAGGCGAATGGTCAGAAACTTGGTGGGGTGGGTAAGTCCTTAGAGGACTCCAGCCCAGAAGCCCTTGAGGCGGAGCCTGCCTGAGCTTGCTGAACCTGTATAGAGAAAATCACCATTAGCAACTGAAGAGGAACAAAACAGACAAGGACCTTGAATAGATAAGGGTTTGAATAATAAAGAGTCCAGAAAACTGTTGCATAAGATGATTCTTTATTTCACTAGGAGGATTTGAACAGTTTCTTGACAAATCAAAGGTGACACTAGTGTATTCATAATTTACTCCATCCCAAATGTCTAGTACACCACACATTTACAAATACTTAAATTCAAGATGAGTTGGTCCTGCCACACGTTTTTGCACTTACTGGTGGTAGGTACAGGTCTCATTGTCAGGCTTCGTTTTGGTGTTCCTAATAAATGCATCATTGGCATGATCATAAGGAAAGTAATTTTGATAATGATGAAGGATGTGTTCTAATGCTATCTTCTATTGCTTCAGCAATGCGGTTGGACTACAGGAAAGGTACAGGAAAGGGGGATTTCTGAGATTTAGTCTTTACTTGGGTAACTGTGTGCAAGTGGTTTATGCTCTAGTATTTTTACCTTTTTTTTTTTTGTACTGGGGAAGATACTTTTAAATGGAAAGCATAAATTAATAATTTTTTTTAGAAAAGAAAAATAGAGATTTACTATCAAGCTATACTGCAAAGCTGTATTGTCAATTCCAGCATAATCTAAATTAGAAGCATCCTAAATATTTAACAAGCGATTGGCTAAGTATTTCGGAAAGATTAACATCGAATGAAGGTTTGGGCAGCTATCTGAAAGAGTACTTCTGGGGGCGCCTGGGTGGCTCAGTCAGTTAAGCATCGGAGTCTTGGTTTCAACTCAGGTCATGATCTCAGGGTCGTGAGATCAAGCCCTGCATTGAACTCTTCAATCAGTACAGAGTCTGCTTGAGATTCTCTCTCACTCTTTCTCTCTGCCTCTCCCTCCGCTCACTTTTTCTCTCTAAAGTAAATAAAATCTTTTTAAAAATATGAAATAGAGGGATCCCTGGGTGGCGCAGCGATTTAGCGCCTGCCTTTGGCCCAGGGCGATCCTGGAGACCCGGGATCGAATCCCACGTCGGGCCCCTGGTGCATGGAGCCTGCTTCTCCCTCTGCCTATGTCTCTGCCTCTCTCTCTCTCTCTCTGTGTGACTATCATAAATAAATAAAAATTTAAAAAAATATGAAATAGAACTTCTGAAGACCATGAACTAATGCGGAAAAGGTATTTTTAAAATTATTTTTGAAGAAATATAACCAGAGACAAGTACCTGTGAACACTATAGCTACAACTTTGTTCAAAAACATGGGAAAAAATTAATAAAAAGATGCTAAAAATGATACCTAAATGCTAAATGCTAAAAAATAAAATGTAAAAAATAAAAAAGATAAATGTTTCTATGTACTTAGATCTATGTAAATCTATAAATGCATTACATGATAGAGAAATTGAATCGCCACTCTCAGAAGCACAGAGTGTATTATTAATATAATTTGGGGTTTGATGAGAGAACTAATTAGCAGTGTTTGGGGGTAAATTTCAAGATTCTCAGTATTTATATATTCAAGAAATATATATATTGTTTGAAGGGCCACCACACGCAACACCAGAAGTGGTCTTTCAAGCTAAACTTGGAAAAGTCTGCCACCAGATGGGATAGTCATTGGTTGACGATGTCATTGAACTCCTCCTTCTACCCAAAGAAGTCCCAGATCTGGTTACACCAGCTGTTCAACCTGCTGCTCTTCTCCCGTCTTATTTGTCATGGTGACAGGAGCCCAGGATATACAAGCTCTACTCGTATCCCTCTGTCTCTACGTTGTCCAGACTCAAGTGAGGCCACCTTTCATGCCTGGTCGGAAAAGGTCAATCCCTTTTGGAGCCAAGAAGAAGAGAGGAGCAGTCAAACCACTGTGGGATGGAGAGAGGGCCCAGGACACAAATTCTGCTCTCCACAAGCACTCACCCAATAGATGTGAGTTCAGGTCACAGTTAAAAAAGATAAAAGTTTTCTTTTAAAATATATATTTACATGGGATGCCTGGGTGCCTGGGTGCCTCAGCAGTTGAGCATCTGCCTTCAGCCCAGGGTGTGATCCCGGGATCCAGGATCGAGTCCCACATTGGGCTCCTTGCGGGGAGCCTGCTTCTTCCTCTGCCCATGTCTCTGCCTCTCTCTCTCTCTCTCTCTCTCTCTCTCTCTCTCTCTCTCTGTGTGTGTGTGTGTGTGTGTGTGTATGTCTCTCATGAATAAATAAATGAAATCTTTAAAAAATAATAAAATAAATATATATATATATATATATATATATATATATATATTTACAGATAATCTTAAAGAGTGAATTTAGTCTCATGTAGTGTCGGCCACATGATAAGTCCCACTTTGACCATTTGACCATTGACCATTTGACCATTCCCACATTGTTGTAATAATTAAAAGTTGTTAGTACTTCAATTATCACAGTAAGAGCAAATAACATTTATATATTTTACAGACTGCAAAACAATTTCACCTGTACAATTATACATGAATCTTACAGTAACTCTGAGAATTGGCAGACAAACCTTGCTAGACCTCCTATCATACAGAAGAAAACAAAGGTTCATAAAACTTTGTGCCTTGCCAAAGGTCATCAATGTATAACAAGAGAGCCAGAACTCAAACCCTGTAGTGACTTTAGGCCTTCATATTATATTTCTCTCGTAACTTATTTTTTTTAAGTTTTATTTTGGGGGGGGGGGTTTGCAGAGGGAGAGGGAGAGAGAGAACCTCAAGCAGACTCCCCGCTGAGTGCAGAGCCCAATGTGGGGCTCAATCTGACGACCCTGAGATCATGACCTGAGCCAAAATCAAGGGTTGAACGCTCCACTGCCTGAGCCACCCAGGCACCCCTATTTCTCTTATAACTTCTTAACTGAATCAGTCTTAATGGCTTCCTCCTTTGTGAGGATACAGAATTCTGTCCCTCAAAAAGAGAAAGAAAAAAGATACTTTTTGTTATTTTTCCTCCATTGACTTATTCCTCTAATGTAATTTCACAATTGCTTTGTCATCTAATGGCCATTCAGTGCACCGAGGCTCCTAAAATTTAAATTGTAGTTGTCTCCACCCTCTCATTAAATAAATGAAAACTCAAATGTGTTGGAGGATACTTAAAATGCAATCAAACCCTTATTAATGGAGTACTTGCGTGTATTAAAGAACCCTTCTGGGGCGCCTGGGTGGCTCAGTTGGTTAAGTGTCTGCCTTGGCTCAGGTTGTGATCTCCGGGTCCTAGCATCAAGCCCTGCATCAGGCTCCCTGCTCAGTGGGAGGTCTGCTTCTCAGGCTCCCTCTGCTGCTCACCCTGCTTGTTCTCTCTCTCTCTCTCTCTCTCTCTCTCTCTCTCTCTCTCTCTCTTTCTCTCAAATGAATAGATAAAAGTCTTAGAAAAAAAAAAAAGAACACTTCTGTCACATGAATTCTCACTACTAATTAATATGGAATAGGCAGTCCCAACTTTTTTTAAAGGGTTTTATTTCTAGAGCTATTTTATAAATAGGTCATTTGAAATTCAGAATGTGTTTTATTATAGAAAAATACATTACAAATTATGGCTAGGCATCACAGCCATCTTTGGGAGCCCCAGAACCTCAGGATGTCCTGGTCCTCAAGTGGAGTCTTTCTAGACCCTTTGAACACTGGTGTGGGAGAAGGAGAACACAGAAAGCAGGCAGATTTCTCCCACCATAGCAGCAAGAGGAGGTTCTTGCAGGGTCAAAGCGTTTCCCATGACTTCAGGACTATGTGGTTGAGCAAATTCGCATTTTCTTTATCATACTTTGTCAAGAAGTGGGAGGAAAAGTAGTTAAGACTCCTCATGGCTGCAGGTAAAAAGTTATGTTTACTTAAGCAAAAGGGAGCAGTTATGAGGATGCTGCACAGAACACAAGGAAGGAAGTGTATACCTCCCTCCCTCTCCTTCTCTGCTCCTTTTTTCTGCTCTTCAATCTACACGGTACATGGTTTTCTATGCCACACAATTTCACATATTACAAGCAGTTCTTCTTTTCTTTTCTTTTCTTTTTAAGATTTTATTTATTTGAGAGAGAGAGAGAATGAGTGAGAGTGAGCATGAGTGGAGGAGATCAGCAGAGGGAGAGGGAGAAGCAGACTCTCCCCTGAGCAGGGAGCCCGATGTGGGGCTTGATCCCAGGATCATGAGATCATGACCTGAGCTGAAGGCAGATGCTTAACCGACTGAGCCACCCAGGTGCCCCTACAAGCAGTTCGTCTTGAAAGACAAATGGACTTTTGCCTCAAATTTAAATTCCCAGAGAATGGTCTCTGATTGGCCTAATTTGAATTAGGTGTCTATCTTTGGACCAATCACTTTTGATGGTGGGGGAGGAGGAAGAGCAAGGTCTCAAGAATAAATGCAATAAGCATAACCCTAAAGGGAGACAGGAAGCTCCCAGAAAAGAAGATGCAGACAGAGAGCCTCAGAGATGGAACAACTGACTGAGGTCATATGGTTGGTATTTTTTATTTTTTATTTTTTAAAAATGATTTTATTTATTTATTCATGAGAGACACGGAGGGAGAGAGAGAGAGAGAGAGAGAGAGAGAGGCAGAGAGAGAAGCAGGCTCCATGCAGGGAGCCCGACGTGGGACTTGATCCTGGATTTCCAGGATCACACCCTGGGCCACAGGCAGGCGCTAAACCACTGAGCCACCCAGGGATCCCCCTGGTTGGTATTTTTTAGCATGAACACAAGTCTTTAAGCGTTTACCTTTTAGAAGTGAGTCACAACAAAATACTTGGAGGAACCATATGATGCTCTTGACAGCTGAACAATTTTAGGGCTACCTGGTCACCAACCTAGAGGCTGCAAGTTGTAATTCTACTAAATCATCATCTCCCACTTTGTGAGCAGAGATTTCAGGCGAGAGACATTCACTCTATTTCCTCCCCCATCAAAATTTTGTGTCTCACAGAAGGGAAAACAATCTGAAGATATTTGAGAAGAGATTTAAAACACCTTGATAAAATGCCAAGGACAAACTGAATGAGAAGATCCCTGAGATTTAGCTACCACTTTACCAAAAAAAAATCCATAACTACTGCCTATGAAAGTGTCAGTTGAGGCTGTTCCCTTGTATAGATTGCAGAGTCAGGAGTTCAATATTAGAGATCATAATAACTTAGACACTAGCTGGTTGGCATTGCATCGACAAAAATAAAAGTGGTTAATGGCCTTCAAGGAAAAAAGCTCTAGAATTTAATTCTTTCACTTCTCTTGTAATTATTACTGCCTTCACTAATTAAATATGGCAACTTAGACCTTTCAATGAGAAAGGACAAATTGTGATGTTGATTGAAATACATTGTTGGGTGCCTGGGTGATTCAGAGGGTTGAGCTTCTGCCTTCTGCTCAAGTTGTGATCTCAGGGTCCTGGGATGAGCCCCACATTGGGCTTCCTGCTCAGCGGGAGCCTGCTTCTCCCTCTCCCTCTGCCTGCTGCTCGCCCTACTTGTGCTCTTGTTCCCCCTCTCTCTCTCAAATAAAAAAAATACATACATACATAATTAAATAATACATTTTTTTTTTGAAAAAGAAGCACATTCTTAAAGGAGAACTTGATCTATCGGTCCTGTGGACAGGTATATTAAGGCATCCCAGAACTGATCCTTTATTATGTCACATGACACAAAAAGATCCTAAATTAGAAGTGATGGATTCCATTCTTAGAACACAACTCGTCACCAATAGAGGGGGACCCTTTGATGAATTATCTGACAACTCAGGAGCTGTCGTTATATTGACTCCTTCACATAAGCTCCTTTAGACACCAAAAGACATCACAAGGCTTTCAAAAACTTTTTTGTTAGTGTTTGAACAGCCCAGAAAGAGACTGCCAGGAAATAAGTTTCAGTCTGTTTGGCTAAAAGGACAGACACAATCTGGTGGTAAATTTCATTCTTGCTCATGAATCCTCCCTTTGACTTTCTGGACAACTTGGCCAAATAAGTTTGGAGGCCAAACTTTACAGCCTCCAAAGCAAGCCTGTTGGTATGAAAGAGACCAGACCATTTTACCTAAAATCACCAAAAAATCTTTGTTTGAAGTCCAGATTTTTACCCTTGAGTCAATCTTTTCTATTTCATCACTGCAGGGGGTGTGGGGCAGGGGGGTTTGGGAGAGGAAATAAAAACCCCACATATAGGCATATAGCCACCCAGACTTGCAAGGGAAACTTCTTGGTGGCCACAAAATCCCACCAAAGAAAATCCCAACCAAGTTTATTCCTGTGCCAGATTCATGAATCCACATCATGGAGCAGCAGTGTGTAGCTGCTCTGGGAACAAGACTGCTCTTTCTTTCAGTTATCACAAATCCATCTGAACTCAAGAGGGCCTCACTTAAATCAGGAATTTCTATTCTTCTCAAAATGTCATGTCATTTGAATTTGCAGTTCTGTGATCTTAAAGAAACAAACAAGATCCTTACCACTGGTGTCCAATGGAAGGGAGAAAGAAAGGAACCCTGAGGGATGCCTGGGTGGCTCAGTGGTTGAGCGTCTGCTTTGGGTTCAGGGTGTGAACCCGGAATCCTGGGATTAAGTCCCACATCGGGCTCCCTGTACGGACGGATGGAACCTGCTTCTTCCTCTGCCGGTGTCTCTGCCTCTCTGTGTCTCTCATGAATAAATAAATAAATTCAAAAAAGAAAGAAAGAAGAAGAAAGAAAGAAAGAAAGAAAGAAAGAAAGAAAGAAAGAAAGAAAGAAAGAAAAAGAGAAGAGAAAACTGGAACTTGAAAAACCCAGATATTCTTCAAGATATATTGAATACATAAATGATGAGGCACTATGTGGCAAAAGAATGTAGAATGTAGAATGAACAAACTATAACTACAAACATCCTATGATCTAACCTCTGAAACCACCACCCAGAGTCACTTTGCTACATTCTGTTGGCAAAAAGGTCACAAGT